CTCCTTCCCTTTGTGTTCGTCACTTTGGTTAATTACTGGAAGATGGCGGTTCTGGCCAAAAGAACACGGCCATTGGGGAACAGCAGTTAGTGTAATGGCTATGTCGCTGGACTCCCATGTAGTCAACTGCGGTTCAAGTCCCGGACCCAGTGGCTTAAACTCACGTCAGACACATGTGCATGCGTGCCCAAGATCCCGAGAGGAGAAGGGATTGCGGCGTGGCCATCCCCCCTGGGGGGTGATTTCTCACTTTTTGTCTCTCTGAGTTTCTAGAGAGCACACGCACCCTATGGCCAAAACCTCTCAAAAAAAAAAAAGAACACGGCCATCAGTTTCTGTCACACCCTCAGATCCATGTCCTCTGACACAGGTTCCCCAAACTGCATGCTCGGCCATTCATGGCCTGCCTTGTGTGTATCATATGCGGTAAAACTCAGAGGAATTATCTGCAAGGACTTCTTCTCAGGGTCTGCATGATGGGAAATGCATGGCTCAGAGGAGGGTTCTCAGCTGTACGGATGGAACACCCCCACTGTGTAACACGTTTACAACCCCGAAATAAAACGTGTGGGTAATTTTATCTGCTGTCACATATAATCTAGATACGTGCATTTAGTATAAGTTACATATGTGCTGCAATATGAGACAGAAGGGGGTTTATGGTGAAATGTGTCTCAGTCTGTAAATGCCCAGGTACATTAGCTGGAAGAGAAGCAGTGAGGTGCTCAGGTCATGGGTGAGGCCATTATGAGTACAGCCACCACAGATGCCACCCGGAACTGCTATGTTGGTGATGGGGGTGCACACCTGTTCCATTCCAGCACAGCTCCAAGCTCCAAGAGGAGTAAAGGAAGATCCCACAGGCCTCACTTGCCCCTGTGTTAGGTTGGTTGAGGTTCTTGGTCAGTCCGTCCATTCACCCGTTCCCGTCGAACTCCCTATGTTAAGGGCTTCCTCTACACCCGGTTCCTGCCTGCTCCAAAGGCTCCTATTTGCTCCTCCCCACTTTCATTTAGTCAGTCTCTAATGAAGAGAGGGGCGAGGTTGGGGGGGGAAGGTGGGTATTTCTGAAAGGGCCGCAGGTCCCAGTCCTCGTGCCCTGGCGTCCTGGCTGTGAGGGCTGCAGCGCCACCTCACCCAGCCTGTGTGGGGCTGGGCCAGGCTCTGTGCCCTCAGCCAAGGTGCAGCGGCGCCCTCCTGCCCGTCCCACAGTGGCTCTGCCCGGCCAGCTCCTCCTGTATCTAGAAACCCTGGGAGGTTTTCAGATTCAGAGCACCCGGCAGAGTGAGCATGGTGAAGGGGACTCCCCGTGACACCCTGCGCCCCACCTCGGGCACTTCTCGTGCTGTGTGTGCTTGGTGTTCTCTATCAGGTCAAGGTTTCCTACACGTCTGGCATAATTGTCATAAATCATTCATAAAGAGCCACTTATAAATAGGAAAACAATGGGTTTTTCTCCATATTTCATCTTTGCTTTTTCTTACTTGTTTGAATGCTTTAGTTTAATTGTAGTTCAATAACTAACTGCCACAATGGGCCAGTCCCATGGTGTTTAAAAAGTAAATCGCTACCGCACTAGTTCTGGAATGAGAGCCTTTGGACGTCATTTTAGAGAGGCAGAAAACCAATGTTTATTTTAAGCCATTGGTTTTGCATCTTAAACCACAAAGCAAAATGATGAATAGGTTCTGGGCCCTCGTCACGTGTCCAAAAGGCATCCATGTGACACCATTAATATTCTGCTATTAGGACTGGAATAATCTGAGCAACAGTAGTCCAACAAATGGGCCAGCTGGTGGTATGGTGGTTAAGGTGCCTGGGTCCCATATGTCCAGTTGTGTGGTTCAAGTCTTGGACCCGGCAGCTTGAAAAACATGCTGAGTACATGTGAGTGTGTGCCCAAAACCCCAAGAGAATGGAGGAGAAGGGTTTGCACTGAGGTCATCTCCCTGTGGGCTGCTTTCTCTCTTCCCTGTCTCTGTCTCTCAGTGAGGGCACGTGCACTATTGCAAATTTTAAAACATAAATAATTTTAAAGTTAATATACCAAACAAAATGGCATTTAAAAGTTTAGGTACATAATTTTTGCTTACTTGATGATTGGTTTTTCTTTTGTTTTGTTTTTGGTCTGGAAGGGATGTGCCCTCACTAGAGACAGGGAGAGGAGAAAGCACCCCTCTCCCCCTCCATACCACAGTCCCTTCCCCTCCTCCTCTCCCTTCTTTGGGAGTTTGGCCATGTACACCCACACGCACTCACCCTGTTTTGCAAGCTGCAGGTCTGGGACTTGAACCACACAATCAGACATAGGATATCCAGCTGCTCTACCCACTAGGCATGGAGCAAGCCCTAATGGCTTTTTCTGAAAACTGAGGTTTTAAGAAAATTTTGCTCCTTTGTGATGACCTGTTGTAGTCACTTGAACATAATATCTTAAGAGAAAATTACTACTTTGTACTTTTTATAATTATTTTATTTAACTTTATTTTAATTTGACCAAAGAAGGACAGAGGGAAAGGGAGAGAGAAAGGGAAAGTGAGAAAGCAAGCCGCCTTGTCCAGGACTCGAACTGGAGTCAGCTGTGTGGGAGTCCAGCACCTTCAACCACCACACTGCCTGCCAGACCCTTCTTCACATTTTTGACTTGGATATATTCTGGGAGTGTAATTTTGATGTATGTCACTTGAGGAAAATAATATCGTTTCCTCATTAAGAACAGTATGTATGGGGACTAGCAGGTGTCGTAATGGTTACGTCACTGACTCCCACATGGCCAACCATGGTTCAAGTCCCAGCCCCAGTGGCTTTAAACATGCCACGCATATGTGCGTGCATGCCCCAAATCCCAAGGGGAAAATGGAGGGGAGGGGATTGCAGCGTGGCCATCTTCCCCGGTGGGGGGGATTTCTTGCCTTCTGTCTCTTTGGCAAGCCCACCTGCCCTATAGCAAAAATCTCTTTAAAAAAAAAAAAAAGGCAAAATCCCAGTGTGTACTGCAGGTGTTTTATGATAATGTTCTGCTTTAACCCAGTGCTTCGTATCTCTTACATGATGTCATTGGGTAATCAATGATTGCTTTAAGTTTTATTTTATCCTATGTAAAATATGCCTTTGAGTAAAGCTGGGTATGTGATCACATGTGGACATATGTGTGCCTGCCGTCCTCCGAGGGCAGCACCCAGACAGCCTGGGCAAAGCCACCACATCTTGAATAATCGCTCCTTTATTCTGTGGGCAGGTGAGCCAGGACGGGAAGTCCCTCCTTGACAAGCTGCAGCGGCCCTTGACACCAGGCAGCTCTGACTCCCTGACGGCCTCCGCCAACTACTCCAAGGCTGTGCACCACGTCTTGGATGTCATCCACGAGGTGCTGCACCACCAGCGGCAGCTGGAGAACATCTGGCAGCACCGCAAGGTCCGGCTCCACCAGCGGCTGCAGCTGTGTGTATTCCAGCAGGACGTGCAGCAGGTCAGTGTCATGTTGTGCGCTTCTTCACGGGCAACGGCACGTCCTGGGCTGAGTGTGTGATGTGTATCATCACATTGGGAATATCTGTGCTTTTGGGGAGAGTGGAAGGTGAGGGCAGGGTCTGCTTTGCCAACCGTGATTGAGAACTGGGCTTCGAGGGTGTGCACACGGGCCACACCCGTCCTCCATCTGCTGTGTGTTCTGGGACCAGGGCGTCCTCGGTTGTAGTTTGTGAGAATAATGCTGGTGAGGCTGGGGATCCGGATGTGTCGTAGTTCGTGAAAGCGTTGTTTGCTTTCTGATCACTTAACTAATGACGCAGGATCTGGCTTTCTCTCTGCTGGGTAGTCCAGTACACGGAGCATAGCAGGTGCCTTGTAATACGGGTGCCTGTTAATGCAGGGTGGACTTCTGTGATGGTGCACTGATAAGCAGTAGTCGCTATCTCTTGTTATCGTCACAAAAGTAAGTCCCGTTTTCCACACCACCTCCTTCCTCATCGCAGAATGAGTTGAGGATGAAAGCTCTGGGAGGACGTAGCTTTAGTCAGAAAGGTCATAGTCATGCCGTTGGCCTGCAAGAGAGGGAAAGGCAGGGGAATGATGACAGCGTCAGCTCTGGGATGAGGACTTCTGGGGGGTGCAGGGCAGCCCCGGTACACAGGCAGTTGGCCTGCAGCCATGGTGCTGTGTCTGGAAAGAACCCCTCCTCCCTCCCTGGGCTCAGAGAGCCCGCGAGCCTTGCTCAGACATGTAGGATGTCAGATTTCCATCTCCCCAAGTTTCGTTGAAGGTGAGTGGGTTTTCTGCTGAGCGGGCTGGGACTATGGGCAGCCCTGCTGCGTCCCAGTGACCGTGAGGTCTCTGTATGTATGGCCGTCAGTCTTCATGCAAACTTGGTGAGTTCAGAGGGTTTCCGATGATTCTGAGCTTTTACATTTTCACATGCCATGCTTTGATTCTGATCTTACTTTTTGCATTCTCTGAAAGTTACATACACAATGACCCTTTTCATATTACTCATGCTTCTTAACGAGGTTATTTAGTCCAAGAAGATAATTATGTGCCAGGGAAGGACTAGAGTGGGAGAGGAGCTGTGGGGGGCCAGCGTGGAGCTGCTGAGAGAAAGGAAGTTGTAAGATTGAAAGCATGAATGTTTATTTTTCCTGATTTTCCAAAAGCTCTCACAAACCATGAGATGTTAAATGAAGGTAGTTGTTAGAGGATTTCCCACACACCTCAGCTCCCTGGACTCAAGTCCCACTCATCACCCACCTGTGGGCCCACACACCTGCTGAGAAGGGCTCCCCACCTATCTGTGGGGACAGCAGCGAGACCCTTTCCTTCTCCTTCCCCCCGGTTCTGGTGTTTTTTTGGGGCACTGAGTGGCATAAGAAGAAGCTGCTGGACTGCTTAGGCTGAGGTAGACACCAGGAGAGGAAGCCTTTGGGAATGGGCTGAGGGAGTGGAGGCAGGCCATGCCGTTTGGCACTGTGCCCTTGATCCGCTTGGATTTTAAAACAACAACTCTGTGTAGAGAGGTAATTACGGTGATGACGAGCCCTGTTCTTAAAGCTTGCTGCTTTTCTCTCGAGAACAGCCATTGGGTTGACTGTGAGGAGGAGAATGCATTTTGTAATACACGTAATACAGATATGGTCCTATTAGCATTCCACGGAAAATAGATACTGCTCATTAAGGGAAGCGTTCTTTGTTGATTAACGATCTGGAATGGTTTAGACTTGTTATGCCAACAGGAAATTGCTATGTAGGCTTGACTTGTGAGGCAGGGAGCAAAGCTGGTAAGATTCATCAAAGCCCACACCTTGCCAATAGGATATAAAAACTAAAAAATGTTTTTCTCAACTCAAGAAATTTGTAATAACACATAGGGATGTTTTTTGTTGTTGCTGTTTGGTTTTTTGTTTGTTGTTTGTTTTTGCCATATTAAGCATGCAATAGAAGTTGAGAATGAAAAAAAAAATGTATTACTTTAGAAAGATGTTATCAGAAGATAACGCTGTAAAGACAAAAATCATCTAAATCCACAAAAATGTAACAAGCCAATTAAAGAGAGAAGTTTTTTGTTGGTTATTTTGGGTACTCAAGGAGCATCTGTACATGTTGAGAAATGAGAAGAGCTGTTTACTGAACTGTGGGGGTGGAATGATTACGAGTTTATGAAAACAACTTTCCAGTAGAGTACATGCATTTGCCTGTTGGAAATTCCCAAGGGGCCCAGCCGTAGGGGTGCATGCTGCTAAGATGCTGAGCCCTGCAGGCTTGGACCACACTGGAGGCCTGGGTTCGACTCCTGGTCCAACCTAAAGGCCTGCTGCACTGGTGCGCACTTGTCATCAGCGACGCGGGAGGCTGCGGCAGGAGGATACTGTCAGCAAGACCCTGGCTTTTTTCATATTTAGTTTCTTTTAAGGTTTTTGCTAGAGGGTGTGTGTGCACGTACTGGAGAGAGACAATGAGAGGGAAAGTGAGAAATCACCCCTTCTCCCCCGGGAGATGGCCACACCACAGTCCCTTCTTTCCCATTCTCCTCCTGAGATTCTGGGCACTCACATTATGTTCCCAGCATGATTTTGAAGATGCCCAGTCTGGGACTCCAACCGCAGTTGGCCACGTGGCAGTCCAGTGCTATGGCTACCACGCTACCTGCTGGCCCCATAAGACCCTATCTTTTAAAAAAAACAACAGTAACAAAAATACCCAGAGCCAGCTTGTGGCCTGGTGGTTAAGCTGTCTGGATCCCACATGGCAGACCATGCAGTTTGAGTCCTGGACTTGGAAGCTTGCAAAGCACGCCAGGCACGTGTGTGTGTGTGTGTGCCCCAAAGTCTTGAAATCAGGAGAGATGGGGCAGAAGGGATTGTGGCATGCCCATGTCCCATGGGTGGTGCTTTCTCTCTCTCCCTCTAGCTGGCAAACACAAGTGCCCACTGGCAAATTTAAAAAAGGACTTTTTTATAAACCTACTTGAAGGACTATTTGCCAAACTGTTAACAGTGTAGCTTTGGGGTTTAGCAGGTGGCATGGTGGTTAAGGTGCAGGACTCCCACATGGTTGACCGCTGTTTGAGTCCTGGACCCAGCAGCTTGAAACCAGGCAGGTGTGTATGTGTACCCAAAATCTCTATAGGAGAATGGTGGAGAAGGAATTAAAGCATGACCATCACCCCCTTGGGGGGTGATTTCTCACCTTCTCTCTCTCTCTGTCTCTCCGGCAAGCATATGCATTCTATAGCAAAAATCTCTTTAAAAAACAAAACAAAACAAAAAAAAACACTGTGTACCTTCAAGGGGCAGGAACGTGGGAATTTGACTTTCAAGACGTGGCTACTTTTTGTTTCGTGGTTAGTTGTTTTCCCTCCTAACCATCTGAGGCTGTTTCATAATTTCTGCATGGAACGTGTGCAGGGTAGCATCAGAGCAGAGCATGGTGTGGGGAGGTGGCAGGAGTGCTGCCATATAGCCCCCCCACATGTCCCAGTCACTGTGGGCTGTGGGGAGGGGGAGGCCTGCTGAAGACTCGCCACATCTACATGCTGGCTGTGGCACGTGTTAGTCCTCGTCATTGCTGACTCAGCGTGAAATGACCCACCCAGTCGCCTGTCGATCAAGCTACATCCTTGCTTCCACGCAGTCATTGCTGACTCAGCGTGAAATGACCCACCCGGTCGCCTGCCGATCAAGCTACATCCATGCTTCCATGCACGAGTGTGCGGTTGGCCTGGCCCTCGGCCGCTGCCAGTTGGATGACTGCGCCATGCTGCCACTGAGCAGTGCCTGTTAGTTCAGAGCATGCTTTGCTGTCTGTCAAAAGTGGTGGTTGTGGAAGTCATCCAAAGCAGAGTGTATCAGACTGGTCCATCTGCCTGTACACTCAGTGTGTCTGGCCCTTGCCGGATCGTTGGGACTCATTACTCCAGCACATCAGGGCGGTGAGGGGCCCCAGGCCTGCTCTGCTGAAGCACACTGACTTCCCTGGACAAATCCCCGCCTCCCCATCTCCCCACCCGCCCTTCCTGTGTGAGCGTCACCCCATGGAGTAGCGCTCCCTCTAGGAAGAGCTCCCTCCAGGCTCACGTGGGATTATTATCTGAGAGTCTTTTAAAATATGGCAAGAGGGCCGGCTGGTGGCACGATGTTTAAAACAGCTGGATTCTCACCAACTGCATGGTCTGAGTCTCAGACCCAGTGGCTTGAAAAACATGCTGGGCACGCATGTGTGCGTGCTACAAAGTCCAAGAGGAGGATGGGTGAGAAGGGATTACAGTGTGGCCATCTGCCCTAAGGGTCACTTCTCACCTTCCTCTCCCTCTCTCTATCTCCCCCTCTCTCTCTCTCTCCCTCTCTCGCAAGCACACACGTCCTGCCACAAACAAACAAACAAAACGTATTTAGTTTCTCTTAGATTCTTCTGGTCCTCACTTTATTCTTTTTTCCAACTATCTTAATCAAATGTGTGGTGCTCGACAGGTACAAAGGTAAATGCACTGAACAGTTCAAAGCGTCTTTGTTCAGTAAATCGGATCTAGTAAGAACAGATGTGTGGTTTTTTTAAGCAGGTGGTTTTAAGTCTAATAAATGAGACCACACAATGCTCAGAGGGAGCACCTGTACGTTTGGTTACTGTCGGGTATAGTTCTGTGAAGGCATACATTTGAGTCGTGCTCATCAAGGTGCTCCCAGAACTGAGGGGGTTGTGAAACTAGCTCCCTGTCCCCATCACCAAATCTACTTTGCATATGCACGTCTAGGGGACTTATTCATCCTTTAGTGATTTGTGCACATTCGGGCACTCCTGAGACCTTTGTCTATGCCATTCTTAAACAGCAGGGTTCCAGTGTACAAGGAAAAATAAAAAGTTCTACAAAGAAGTGCAAGTCACAGTTGTCATAAGAGGGCACCAGAAGGTCTGCATGGAAGAGGCAGTTTGAGCTGCTCTTGTTTATAGAGTAGGTTGAGGAGTGGGCAGTGGGCATCGCAT